GTCCTGATTTAGTCCAGTATCACAGTTTAAGTTTCCATTATTCATTTAAACAGAAAATCTAAAACTGAAAAAAACGAATCGTTATCTGTTTTTTCAGTTTGGTTTTGGAGACAAATAATGAAGAAAATAGTAGTTTTTTCGTTTTCTTATTTTTGGTTTTATATTGAAAAACAAATGAATAAATGATACACGGATTTAAAAAGTAGTTGTAACACCAAACGCTATAAAACAATGACAAAATTCCAAGAAAGAAAAGCAGCGTATGAACAGCAAGTTTGCATTTACAATTCACTTACGACTTACTGTGAATATAAGAGACAAAATATCAATTAAAACAAACTTTTATGCATAATTCATTCATTCCAGAGCTCTATATCTTTCAAAATGCTTTCAATGTTTTTTTCTCTCTTAAATCGTCTCAGATTGTTCCATATACTAACCCCTCGAACAGAAATACAATCACTTTATTCTTAATCTGTGTATCATTCGTTCATTCGTTTTTCAATATAAAACCAAAAATTAAAAAAAAAAAAATTAAAAAAACAACTGTTTACTTCATTATTTGACTCCAAAACCAAAATTAAAAAATGCGTAATGATTTGTTTTTTCAGTTTTCGATTTTGTGTTTAAATGAATAATGTATTTCCTGTTTCCGTGACTTTAACTGTGTTGCCAGACTTTTGTGCCGCATACGAACTGAACCAGGACTGAACCAGAACTAAAACAGGTCCGGGACCAGACCGAAACCAGACCAGGACTGAGACCAGGACTTAGACCGGGTCCAGACCATAACCAGACCGTGATTGAAACCAGGACTGAGACCGGGACCGAGACCAGGACCAGTCTAGGACTGAGATGAGACCAGGACTGAGACTGGGACCAGACCAGGACTGAAAACGGTTTAGTCCTGGTTTAGACACGTTTTAGTCCTGTGTTAGTTCTGGTTCAGCAAAAGTCTGGATTTTTCTTAGTTCTTATCTTCATTTTTTAAAGATGCAATTTTTTTTTGTTTATAGTCGTACAAACTAATAATAATGTTAACAAAGGCACAAAAGTTCATAGTTTATGACTGTACAAAATAAACCACAATGAGAATAAAAAAATAAGGATTTCTGTGCTTTCATTTATGATCATACAGACTAATAATAATGATAAAGAAGGTGTGAAATTTATCGTTTATGATCGTATATCAAAATAAAAGGTAATGTTAAAGACAATTTTAAACAAAAGCATGGATGCCAGCAATAAACGACAGTCCTATATTATGCAAAATTTACTCCTGTGAGCTTTAAGACATGTTAGAATATTGTTACCTCCTCAAAAACATATTTGGACTTGTGTTTTATTCCATTCACACATATTTTGGTTGTGTATTCTTATATATAATCCAATCAGAGTACTGTATTCTGAATCCTTAGGATACTTTCAGGCAGGGTTGCTTTTAAATTATAGCGCAAAAAAACACAACATATAGGATTAAAAACAGCTTAATGTTTATTTCATTTATTTATCACTGACCAGAGATGGAAAAATCACACGTGCACTCACCTCAAGGGCTGTGTTTTTTATTTTTCTCACAGAGGGCCTGTTTACACGAGAACGCTTATGGGGAAAAATGAGTATTTTATCGGAAGTGCCTTTTGTTTAGATGGTTGTGGCTTAAAAACGCAAAAATCTGAAACCACCCTCCAGAGTGGAAAAGTTTAATATGCTCCAATCCGTGTATCATTCCTTCATTTGTTTTTCAATATAAAACCAAAAATAAGAAAACGAAAAAACAACTATTTTCTTCATTATTTGTCTCCAAAACCAAAATGAAAAAAAAAAAAAAAGGATAATGATTTGTTTTTTCAGTTTTCGATTTTGTGTTTAAATGAATGATAAAAAAACAGATAAGGACCGTTTCCCGTTTCCGTGACTTCTGCGCCGCATATGGACAGAACCATGACTAAACCTGGACTTAAGAGAAGTACCAGATCAGGACCAGTCCGTGACTGGACTGCGACCGGGACTGAGACCAGACTGGAACTGAAAACGGTTTAGTCCTGGTCTGGTCCTGGTTTAGTCCTATTTTAGTCCTGGTCTAGTCCTGGTTCAGTCCGGCATCACAGTTTAAGTCACGTAAACTGGAAACGGCCGTTATCCGTTTTTTCCATTATTCATTTAAACACAAAATCGAAAACTAAAAAAAAAAAAAAAAAAATCCCAATTTTTTTCATTTTGGTTTTGGAGACAAATAATGAAGAAAATTGTTGTTTTTTCGTTTTCTTATTTTTGGTTTAATATTGAAAAACAAATGAACGAATGACACACGGATTCCCTTTGCCGCAGTGTTTCCGTCTACACTGCCCAAGACGCAAAACTCTGGTCAGATCTGCTCACGTCACGTATGCGTTTACGTCACGTCCATCACCACCTAGTGTCACCACCGAGCCGCCTGGCATGCAAACCCAATCGAATTCCACACACTTTTGCGTCACCGTATGCACGCAGATTTCCTCCTGAAAATGCTCGTCTAAACGCGGAATAAAAAGTGAAGACGCTGCGCCACTTTTGCGTCTTCTGTTCAGACAGTCATCATATAAACATAGCCTGATTCTGTGCAGTTTGAAGCTTAAATTGTGTGATCAAGTGCCTTCGATTTTAGAAAAGTGACAATATTCTAAATACCACCAAACGAAAAAGTAACTGCACTGGAATAAAGTTACTCAAAATTAGTATTCAGACATTCTTGGTATTCAGTTCCTTCCCAGCGCTGAGTATGTGTGTGGGAATCCATGTTTTCAAAGTGGATTTAACGTGTGAAAACAGGGTAAATCAAAAGAGCACAAAAGTATGCAGTGGAGAGAGAAGAGAGTAATGTATGTGTCTTTTTCCAGATTTGTGTTTGCGTCGTCCTCAGTGAAAGTGAAATTAGGCGATTTAGTTTTCTGTATTTTTTTCCCCCATCAATTAAATTAAAAATGGAATGTAAATATATGTATTCCATTCACTCTAAAACATTTGATTGTATGTGACTTGGACTTAGACAAACTGTCCATAAGGGAAATTATTTGGACGCAATAAAGCTCACAGATGACAATAATATAATAACAAAGAGCATTCAAAATAAGTAGGAAAAGTAGCAAGAGCCTGGTGTCAAATAAGGCATAATTTATTTGACAGCATGTGTGAAATGTGAAATGTATGTTTCTTTAATGAAATAAGCAGGGCAGAGATGTGCAAAGATCCAAGTGCAAAGCAGAGCACTAAACAGTAGCACGAGGCCTGTGATTAATTTAAACCATTTTCACAGCTTGAATCTCATCAGCTCGTTCTGAGGCCTGGAGGCCCATCTCCTTTTAGCACCTTAATAGGCCTGTGTACACCAGAAATCCCTTTATTTCCCCATCCCCTCATTTTCTTTTTTAAACCATATCCAAGGTGAATGCTGAAAAGGCACCAAAAGAAATATTTGAAGAAAGGACTGTTGTTCCTGTTGGCGTGGTTCTGGGCTTTTGTAGGCAGGTAGCTCGTGTTAAACTGTGCCAAAGCAAAAATGGCGGATAATTAAATTAAATAAGTAGGCTTCTGTAATGAAGTAGAACCAAGTTTTAAATTGCAGGAGAACAGCCAGTTTTCACCTTTGTACACGTTTCTTGTGTTTTGGCTGGAAACAAGAACGCTAATGTTAAAGGCTTTAAAGCAGTGTTTGGTTGTTGGGGTGTGCCTGTGTGAAATCTTTCTAATTAACTCTGGTCTTGTGCGCGCTGTGTCGTATTTGCGCGCGTGTGCGAGGCGCGCGGGCACGTGAGTGTGTAGCGTGTGTGTCTTTCCGCTCTCCTCTGGAATGCAGCCAGTCTCTGTTGAATCCACACTCCGCTTCCAAACCCCAAAGCCTTTGATCTTTTTTTCGGCGTCTCCTTACCCGGAAGAGAACCCCTTCTCCCTCTCTCTCAGCTGGGATGAACGCACACGTGGAAATGTTGGCCCGGCTCCACGCTCGGACCAAATTTAGTCATACAAAGGCTCGGGAGCGCGGGGGAGCGCAGGGGGGGGAGCAGGGGGGCTGCAGAGGGGGAGACCGGGGGAGGGCGGGGGGAGATGAAAGAGTCCGCCGCCACAAGATCAAAGGCAGCCGCGGCTCCGCCCCGCTAACCCCACCTCCGCGCTTTATAAAGATCTGCCTCTCCATCCCAACTTTGATTCTCACGCAATCTCTCCCTGCTCACACTCAGGCGAAAAAACACGGCCACTTTTTTCCACATTACTCTTGTTTTCTTCTCATTGCTCAGACTCGTTCTGTAGCGTCGGTGGGTCATTTCAGCTTATTGAACGAAGCCGATCTAAACTACAAACCACTCCAGCCTCAGAGACTTGAAGTGTGTGAATTACGCACGCTCTTCATCTACAGACACAGACACACACGCTACGGGCCTTTAGCTATTTGTTATCACATGCTATTTTATAACATTACATCATCGGTATACGGGTGAGGGTTGGTGTTAGGCGATTTGAACGGGCAGAAAGCCGTGGAAAATCACAAGCATAAGCCAGTAGGCCCTATTTGTTACTCGACATGGCATCAAAGTCCTAACAGGCACACCCCTATGATGTATAAAGGCTTATATAAACATATTGTTCCGTTATGAATATTGTTTCATAAAATACAGCCACATTTGAGCTCTTTTTACAGTCGCCAGCCCTGGGAGCTCTCAAGCGTTTGCCAAGATGTGCGTAAATGTTCCTTCTCGTTAGCCCTGAAACATCACTCTCCTCTGTTCTTGCTTCTTCTGTATTATTTTATTTAGACTGTTATATTGTTTTAACCCGGCTCATTCTTGGCTCTGTCTGGCCATTTGTTGTGAGCCGAGCCGAGCGGGTCTCTGTGGAGGAGTGTCAATCAAAGCGGCGGCGCCTTTCATCTCTCCTTCCTCCCAGTGACTGAGGCGGAGGAGGCGGAGGGCTACATTATACCAACACACACTCCACACACGGCTTACTTTACGCCGGGGAAGCGGTGTGGGAGCAGTGGGAAGTCGCTCCACGCCGTCGCTGTATTTTTGATTGTTTTACGACTTCTGCTTTTATCCCTCATTGGTCAGCCGTCCGTGTTTGTGGATGTATTTTTTAGCATGAAAGACGCGTTACTTGCGGTCCCGTTTTTAACTTGAAAAACTGTTCGCCTAGTTGTAGCGTGCATCCTTCAGCCTGGTCGTGTTTTGTTTTTGCCCGTTCCCTAACCGCTTGGACCACCGACGGACTATTTACTATCTTTATTTTTAATTTGCACTTTGGGCACTGAGACTTTTTCCTGGAACTTATCGGCTCTGATCTAAACTCGTGTTCTGCGTCCGACACTGAGGCGTACTGTTTGACTTTACATCTGTCTGGAGGCGTGCGTCGTAGCGGATCCGGGAAGAAGGCACGCTCCTGTTGCTTCGGTAAAGCGCGCGCACCGGTCCGGTCCAGAGCCAGCGTGATCCCGGTGACTCACCGCGCAGACTTGGCCCACGCAGGGGTGCCCTTCCCACTCGCGTCGGGGGGATTTTGCTGGAACTTCTGTGCCGTCTTCAGTTTTTGTCAGGGCGCAGCGTTGACTAAATCGGACTGAAAATGCCACAGTTATCAGGCGGTGGAGGAGGAGACCCGGAGCTGTGCGCCACGGACGAGATGATCCCGTTCAAAGATGAAGGGGACCCGCATAAGGAGCAGATCTTCGCCGAGCTCAGTCACTCGGAGGAGGAAGGGGACCTGGCAGACATCAAATCCTCCCTGGTCAACGAGTCAGAGAGCAGCCCCAACAGTAACGACGTGAGTAATGTTGTGTTCACTGGCCATGGGAACTGATGCTGGCTGTCAACAGTGCAACTCAGCAACTAAGTTTTGTAAAACACGCTGCTGTCCTTAAAGCATCACAGCCCATGTCCACATTTTTTATTCAACTTAATTAGAAAGCATCTTATTTTTTATTTTTATTTTATTTTTTTAAGAAGTGTCCTTGTAGTGCGTGAAATCTGTCAGTCATCTGTTAAAAAAATAACCCCAAAACGCAACATATTTTTATATATATCGCAGGCTACACCATGGTTTCTCAAATCTAAAAGATGCTGTAAAATGCACGGCCCTAAAAGCTCCATCAGGCCTATTTATTTGACGAGCCAGAATGTTATTACTGAATAGAAGTTGCGTAAAGGCCTGCCCATATTGTCAACACGCGCTCTGCCTCCAAAGGATGCTCTTATGGGCGTTCATCTGTCGCTGCCTGCCTTCGTGTTTTATACCCCCCTTTGTGTGGATTAACATTTGTACGTGATAGTTCAAAAGATATGCAAAAAAACAACAACAATAACCCCCAAAACGAGGCCTTTTGAGCTGCTTACGTGCATAGAAAAAGTGCAGTCTTCGAGGGCAAATCTGAGGTTATAGAAAATGTATTTGACAACTGCAGCCTTTATAATAATCCAACATATCAATAACAGCACTGGACTCAAATTTTACTACGTTAGGCTTATATATTTTCTTTTATTTAGCTTTATTTAATCTTCATGAATCAAAATGAGGGATTAAAAAACAAAAAAACACCTTTATTATTTGTCAGATTAAAGGATCCGATTTGGGGAAAGCGATTGTGAAATTCAGCTGTTATTCTGTTCATTGTTTTGACAACCATAACATTGGAGAATTGTGATTTCACGAAAACAACAATTCAGTCAGTGACCACATCATAATAATTTTCTGCATGAATTTCATCAGCTGTGTGTTGTTAGCGTCCATAAGCAGGTGTAGGCCTAAACCAGCCAAGACAAACTGTCCTCTTTTTACCTGTTTACCACCTCCTGGAGCTTCCAATTCCACATCTCGACGCGTTTTTCTCATTAGCGTAGTGTTAATAAAATACTGTGCACTTTCCGATTTGGACTCTACATGTTTTTGCCATCAAATGTCCTGGAGACGCGCGGGACAGAGGCTGAATGTTAATTAGGATTCCAGTGAAGTTCCCTCTCTCAGCTTGAAGCCGTCCTGAGGGATGTGGGAATAAGGAGGCCCTTCTCCTAATTTAGATTTGTAAAAAAAAAATGTTTATAGGGAAGAGAAGTTACTGATTATTTTCGTGTCATTTCCAGCACGCATTTAAAATCCTATTCCAGCTGTTCTTTTACATTTAGATGAAGGAATAAATTGAAAGGCTGGACAAGTTAATATGAAAGCTACATCTAGGGAAGTTAAAATGACTTAAATTAAGAACATTTTACTTTTTTTTTGAGTAGATTAATCTCGCAAAGAGTTGTTGTTTTCATATCTTAAGTGTAACAAGATGTATTTTCATATTTTAAGTGCAAAAAGTCTCTTTCCACTGGCAGATAATTTTACTCGTGAAGTGAAATTTACTCAAATCATGACAAAACTTTCTCAATTCGAGTCAGCTTAACTTGGCTAGATTTCTATTTTTGCAGTGAGATGGAGGCATAAATAGAAAGGCAAAAATGATACTGGACCTACTATATTGAAAAGAAGTTAATATAAAAGCTCCTTAAGAACATGAGGCTTAATTAAGTGGTTCTTTTGACGCTTGTTCCATCATCAGCCTTCTATACCATCGCTGTGTTTACGTCCTGTGTGGAAGAAATGCTGGAAGAAGTTCTCAGTTTTGTCGCTTTAAGATGCACTAAGCGACTTTTCTGGTGGACGGTCCGCTACCTGCTCTTCTCCAGACGTTATTGCGTTGTCTAGAATGTTCCACAGTACACATTAAACCTATTTATCACAGGTTACAGCAGTACGCCGCATTACAGTTCAGATCTGTGGAGAGTCGTCCCCATTCACAGATGGAATTATTGTATTTTTGAGCGATAGAAACACTCGTAATTAATAAATATTAGATGGAAATGTTTAAAGTCATACCATGGAACATTCCAGAGAGAGCAATAACATCTCCATGGAGACAAGCAGGTAGCAGACCCTCCACCAGAAAAGTTACGCAGTGCATCTTTAAGTACATGTACAGATACAGAGGTAGAAAGTTATTCAGGTAAAAGTAAAAATATCACATGAAAAAAATTTAAAAAGTAAAAGTATTTAAGTATCCGATTAAAAATGTACTTTAAGAGTAAAAACTGAAAGTATTTAATGTATTTCAAATGTTATTGATTTGTTAAAATATAGTTATACTGATTAAACGATACAGATTTTGGAATATGAATCAATTTCTTATTTTTCTGATTTATTTTTGTTTGCTCAAAGCCAAAACTTGAGTAAAATAACCCTTAAGATCATCTGAAAAGTGATTTTATGTTTCAGTCTTGTTCTAAAATGTAGTGAAGTAGAAAGTACAGATACCTGCTCTCAAATATAGCGAAGTAAAAGTAAAGTTAAGCAAAGTATAGATACCTAAAAATTCTACTTGTACTTTGTTACTTTCCATCACTGTTGGGGACATGGGCACAGAGTCTGGTCCTGCAGAGTCTCTGACCATCTGACCGTGTAAATGTACGTCTGAAGTCCCTCCTAATTGATTCACCGTAATTTAATTTGACTTGTCTTTCTTTTGCAGGCAGCTAGACAGTCCCAAATACCACAAGATTCATATCATGAAAAACACAGAGACCATCCGGACGATGGTAAGTGACACAGCCCTGGGGGAAAGAGCCTGTTAAATCACAATGTTTTATGGGACAGGCCACATGCAATAAAAAGAACCGCTTAAACCTTTATTTCCATGTAGTTAGAAAAGCAGTTTTTTCCCCCCCCACACACACAGAAGTCATCACTCACACATGTGTACTTACTCTTATCAGCACGAGGTTTGACCCAGGTCTAGTCAGGACATGCCAGGCTGGATGGAGAAATAAAACGATTAAAAGTAGAGCATTTAATCGTTTTTGAATCAGTTATATGCTTGAGTCTTTTTAATAGAAGCAACTCTGTGATAGTAAAAGCATGTGGGGCAGAATATAGACTTTGAAGGAAGAAATTTGATTAGTCTGTGAGTTAAATTGCACTGAAATTAACATTAAAAGCCCCATCTATTTAGCTTTAGTTTATTAGTTTATTTATGAAGGATAATGTACATAAAAAACATTGATTTTCACAAAGAGGTAGATGTAAATGCCAGGTTAATTTCCACTTTCAGTCAGTTTCTGGACAGGCTGATGTTATAAATGAACAAACACACATTTGTTTTTAATTAGACAATGTAAAACTAAATGGGAAACTGAGAAAAAAAAAAAAAAAAAGATAACATTTTTGGTCATTTCGTACAGCCCTGACATAACAAATTAACCATAAAACCAACAAAACTGACCAACTCGCTTTCTTGTAGCTTGTGTTTCTTATCAACTCATTACCCGAGCGTGTTTATCTCTTCTTTCGTTTCTTTTTCTTTTTTTCGCCCCACGTCTGTCACATGTCGCTCGGGGCCTTTTACCCTCTTGCCCCATTGTAGTGTGACCCCACTGCTTCAGGTCATCATTAGTCCTTAAAGCCGGAGCGTGTCTCCTCTTTGTTCCCCTTTCACTCCTCTGTACAGCCCCCCTCAAACCAAACACAGCCTTGCCTTTATAACCTGATCCCATACATCGCGCAAACACCCCCCCCTCCTCCTCCTTCTCCTCCTAGTTCTTCTTTTCTTTTTTGCTTCAGGACACAGCGCAGCCCAAGTGAGTGGCCTCTTGTGTCAAAAAAAAAAAAAAAAAAAAAGGGCCCCCTCTTAGGTCAAAGGCGTATAGGGAGCAGTTGGGGCGTCTCCTGTTTTGACACAGTCTGTATGTTGGGCTAATTGGCGCTAATTGGCACAGAGGGGCAGCCATTGTTCCTGCGTATAATGGTATAATACAGACATCCTCTCCAAGTCCGCAGAAGAAAGGGCACAAACAAAAGGGCAGGGGCCAGTCGGGGCACGGGTCAAACTGATCGTCAGCGATATCATGACAGAAAAAAGAAAAAAAACAGGCGTCATACATTCTTAGCTGTTTCATTGTGATGATGCTTGTTAATGTTTTTACACTTATGCTTAGACAAATGAAAGTTAAATTATGGTCCATCTTAGTGCGTTTTTGATCTTTTTTTTCTGTGCAGATTCAATTCAAAACGTCTGCTTCTTCTCCGCAGCAAAACATCAAGATCTGTACGGTAAAAGCCACCCATACCCAGGTTACCCAGGTTACATCATGATGAGCAACATGGGCAATGACTACATGAACAACGGCTCCCTCTCTCCGCCCATGCCCAGAACGGTCAGTGCCAGCTGATTTTTTCGGAAGAGTGAAAGTTTGAACGTTATTTAAATATGTATGGGAGGAGATTAATGTTTTGTTTGAAGGGATGGGACAAGATCTCGTGGCGTAAGATCAAAATCGAGAAGAAATCGCCACAAAATCGTGCACATGAGAGAAAAATTATCTATTAAGATTTGTTTCTCATGTGTTTATGTTTACATTGGACAAAAACAGGTTAAGTGTTGATGAGTTACATCTCTTATATAGTGCTAGAATGGCAGCAAAATATTAAATAAAATGAATAAAGCATTCTGAGGACAAAATTTGAAACAAAACGTACAGGAATTATGTAAAATCTCATCTTGTTTTGCCATTCTAGTACTGCTTTTTGAAACTATAAGAGACATAACTCACCAACACTTAACCTCTTTTTGTCCAATCTAAACATAAACAGATGGAAAACAAATCGCACAAGATCATTTTTCTCTCGTGTGCTTGATCCTGTGGCCATTTTGTCTCACGAGATCTTGCAACACGAGATCTTGGTCCCATTTCTATTTATTTAAATAAATAAAAAAACAAATCTATTGGAAAGGCCAAATATTTGAGCAACAACAAACAAACTTGCTGGCCTGATTCAGATCCACATGGAGTAAAACGTTGAAAGGTAAATGAGGAAATGCTTTAAGAAGGTCATTTATTTCTTTTGAACCAGTCAGTGGTTCTCATGTAAGGGGTCATATCGGGGTTTGGTTGAACGTGAAATTGATTTAAACCTAATTCATTTTGTCACATTATGAAAATTTAAGACTTAATTTCATTTACTGCGGTACAAAGGAAAAGACTTGTTATTCTGATGTTAATACAGTGATAACAGAAACATGCACTTTCTAGAATTTAAGATCATTTTCTGCACAAATTGTAAGTTTCTTTAATGATCTTATACTTGTTCTGATATAGAAGTAGTTTTAATATTGATTATTATGTGGATATCTATAAGAACAGATGCAGTCATGAGAGGAAACTGATTCTGTCTTAATTATAATCTCTAATTCAGTTTAATGCACTCTTTGATTCTGAATTTGTGTCAGTATAATTACCATTTACAGTATATAAATATGATATGGAGTGAAAAAATAAATACACATACATAAACTCCTCATACTACGCACTCTAATTTGGCTAAACATGTATCCTCCTTATGAAATATGTGTCATTTTGTGGTTTTGAACTTCACCCTCATGTGTCAGCTCCGTTGACGATTGCCCTCTTCACGACCCATGCGGGTTTCCAAGGCAACCAGGCACATTCCTCCATCCCGCTGTTAAAATCAGAAGTGACTCGTGGCTTCACAATAAGGCCTGTGCGATAACAACATCTGAAGTACTACAAAAAGTAAATAAAATCTAGTATTAGTAAAGTTAAAATCTCCTCAGTTAAGAAAGTTTGATCTTGATTTGAGTAAATTTCAACTGGTAAGTATAATGATCTAGACTTTATGTACTTGAAGTAAGAAAAGACATCTTGTACATAAGATAAAATAGGAAAAATAATACATCTTTGCAGTTAAAGAAGAAGAAACAATACCTTATGTTGCTTTTGGTAGATCATTTTGCTTGTCAAGTTGAAGCTGCTCAAATCAAGTAAGAATGTGCTAAAGATATATTTTTTGGCAGTGTGCTGAAGTAAATATGGAAGATAAATTATAATATTGCAGCTAATTTATGCCTCTGACACACCCAAGAGCAAATTTAAACCACAAAAACTATTCTCAATCTACAATTTTGTTAAAAAAGCATGAGCTGCAATAAATAAACAGCAGAATGAAGCTCTTTAGTACTCATAGAAGTTATTAATTCAGCCTTTTATGGCATAAATCTTAATTTATAGCCAAAAAATAGCCAAAAATGCAAAGAAAATGTACAAACGATAAATACTGACTCCAAATAATATCGTTCCAGCTTTCATACATTGAATGATAAGTCTATATTGTGATTATTGTGACAGCTATGACTCACAAGCTCATGTTTGTAACAATATTGTGCTTTTAGAATCGTTTTATGGTTAATCCTTCTCAATTTTATTGTTTAACATCTATATTTACTTCAGAAGTGTAGTATATTTAAGAATGTGTTATCGTGACAGGCCTATTTATGAGTAAAATTTGATCTGTAATGATCCCAGCGTGACGAAGTATGAGGCCTTGTCCGGTCCGTCTGATATTGTCCCTTCAGAATCGTTTTACGGATAATTCTTCTTTACGGTTAGGTTTCAGTATTATCTTTTATCATCTATATTTACTTCGGCAACGTAGCGCTCTTCAAAATGTGTTATCGTGACAGGCCTAAGTATGACTAAAGTTTGATCTGCAATTACCCCAGCGTGACGAAGTATGAGGCCTTGTCCCACTCAGATATTGTCCCTTTAACCGTATTAATTTCAGACCAGCTGCTTGTCTCTCTCTTTCTCTCTTGGCGGCTTCCTGTGTCTGTGCCGTTTGCAAATTTCTCCTCTCTGAGCGGACACAAAACGCGAGGGAGCACCAACAGCTGTCCTTAATAATCCAGTTTTGTCCTTGCATGCGCCTCTGTGGCACACGACCAGCCTGTTTGGTATAGGCCTGTCATGATAATTACCGCATTGATCTATTGTTCGATAGACGAAAGGGGCGCAATAGTTATCGTGTGTGCGTTTTCTTTGCGTTCTGGAAATGTTTTGTTATTGTAGTAACATAAGATTTGACTTGTAGAGAGCTGGATATTAACAAGTAACATTTTTGACTGATTATACATACTAAATACCATCGTTTCAGTCAAAGATGCATTGATTTTTTGTTGTTTTTTGTTTCGATACTATGCCTTGAAGTATCTCCCAATACCCGATATTAACCGATACCAGCGTAGAGACCGCAATCGCCATTTATTACCTTAAAACAAAATTTTACGTAAGACCAAACTGAGCCAAATGTGTTATGTAACTGTTATTTATCTCTCAAGTAACTACAGAGCGGCTTTGTATAAATAAAAGTTCAAATGTTATGAGACTTTCTAGGCCAACTATGACCAGTAAATAGTCTCGTTACATCAGTTTATACGTCAAATATCGACTGAAACGATATCCGATCCAGTACATTTTTCAGTCTCAGCGCCGATATCTGATACTAGTATTGAAGCAGTGCATCCCTAGTTTCATTTCTGGCATTTATTTATTGCAGGTGATGTTATTTTTCAGTATTACAGGTTTATAAAAGAGTTTAAGGTTACTGGTATAGAATAGTTTCAAAAAAATTAAAAAATAAAAACTCCCCCACGGTTGTATTTTTTCCTGGGGTTTCATCAGGGCAAACTTGAGAGCCGGGACGTTATTATAAGAATTGGCTTTGCGAGGCAGATGTGATTGTCGGGGGCAGATGCCACATGCTGAGTGTAAAGGCTCTTCATTCACACGCAACTCTATCACGAAATGATGTTAAAATTGCACAGCTTCCCCTCTCCTGCCAAAGTTGTAAAGGGCAAAAAAGAGTAAGTGACATTGTGTAGCCGAGTTTGATTGAGATTTCCTCATGATTCACCGTCACATTCACAAATAGTTATGAAATGTGGTCGGGGTTGGTTTCCAAATGTTCCTTTATGGCTCATTTTCTTGTCAATTAGATCAATTACTGTATTGTCTGCAGTTGCCAAGTCATTGAGGTGTTTACGGAGCACAGCTGAATCCACGAGAGGATATGACCCCTTTTCATTTGAATTAGAAGTGAGAGGTGGGCAGTGATAATGACGTACTTTTATTTGTTTAGCCCCATAAAGAGACACTTCAGTATTTCTATGACCCAGTTGAAGTTGTAGTGTATTCAGGTGTTCTTTTTTAAGAGCGGTGAGAGCTACAGGGTTGGTTTTACTTTTTTCTGTTTTGATTGTTGGAGCCAATACAGAGTTTGCATATTCTTTATAGTGACTTTTATTCCTTATGGAGGTGTATCAGCAGTATAGACGCACCGATACGATATTGGTATCAAGTATTGGCGCTGATATTGAACTGTTTCATGGATTGGATGTTTGCATTAAAGAAAAGTTCAGCTGATATCCCATTTTGGTCTATAAATTGGTGTAATAACATGATTTACTCACCAATGTTGACCCAAAATGTCTTGAATTTTTACAAAACTGTCGATACAAAACACATTTGGATAATCTTTTACCATACGCTGTTTGTGTTTAAAGGAAATAAACCATATTTTCAGTTTTTGCCCTAGTATCGGTTAATATCGAGTATTGATAGATACTTAAAGCTAAAGCATCGACATCGATATCGGAACAGAAAAAGCTGGATCAGTGCATCCTTAATCAGAAGATTTTAGTGATATTGGTTAGGCTTTGGACCAATCAGTTAAAGATAATTAATAACTAATTTCCTGAATGAGTTTGGATCTGTTTGAAAGGATAAACTCACATCATAATACTAAAGAAAACACTGCTAATTTTTGTTCAAAATTAAATGAGATTTTCTTCACTGTCGTTGCCAATTTGGGATAGGCCCTTTCCTTTAAGTGTAACCTTTATGTTATTTATATTTTTTGTTCAATTTGTGTTTAACTAGGTCATAATAATTACTTAATTGTCTTATCGTTCGTATTGTGGGTTTCAGATGACTTCATGACACTATACAGATTGGGGCAGCTAAAATAAATATGGTTAAAATGCTGAGTTCTTTTGTAAAATAGTGAGATCCAGGCTCTAGTCACTAATAGAAATGATCAGATTCAACATTTGTGAGTTTACCTTTTGGATATTTCATTGCCAAGTACAATGGAATCAATAGGGAATAGGGAAAACTGCCTCTATTTTCTGCAATATTCCTGAGATTTTTTCTTATTTTGTCGTAATACGTGCAGAAAAATAACAAAAAAAGTTCCCACTAGTGTGAAAAACGAACCGAAATTATTGTTCCATCTGTCATTTACTGAACATTAAATCGATATGGTAATTATCGTGACAGGCCTTGTCTTGACGATCCAATAA